GATGTCTTGTGGCATGAAGTTCAGCCTTTGTCATTCCACTTGTAACATCCCTAAATATTCGTCGTGATCAGCATTAAATTCTACGTCGATTTTACGTAGTCCGTCTGTCTGTCGCAATCGCGATATAGCTTCAAAATTTGACAGAACAATTTGTATTGTGTCTAGGATGATTGGTATTGAGAATAAGATGTATCGGTGCACGTTTTGGTATAGCTCCTATATAACGGTACCTCCCTATATTCGGCATTTTGATTATTTTTGCCACATTTTTTCACGAATTTGTCCACAAATTGGTATTTATAGGTCATAACGGGTACCTCCCGATATTCGGTATTTGATGATTTTTGCCACATGTTTTCACGGATTTGTCTAAAAATTAGTATTTGTAGTTTGTAATGGGTTCTAGTTCCGGTTCTAGTTCCCCCATATAATTATATTTGGTGTTTTCATAATTTTTGCCACATTTTCCTACAGATTTGTCTAAAAATTGGTATTTACAGTTCATAATGGGTTCTAGCTCCGGTAGCAGAACATTGAATATTTAGCCACCGATGTTCGGTATTTTGATAACATTTACCCACGAAATTATTTCTAATTTGGTATTTAAGAAGATTTGGTAGATGACTTAAAACATGTTTTCTCATCCAATCACCAAAATTAGGCAGCGTCGAGCACCATTTTTTTCTGAAGGACAGCTTAAAACCGCTGAGAACACTTTTTATCCATATCGAAAACGTTTCTCTTTCAGTGTAGTATACATGTCTTGTTTTATAATCCAATTCAAAACGTTGTACAAACATAAATAATAACACCTCACACAGACAAATATTTAATTATTCCGTCTCGTTTTTTTTTTTTTTTTTTTTTGCGCTTCGATTTGTTTGTTCTTTCAGATATTTTTCTTAAGCAAATGTTTAATTTTGTCACAACAATTAGAAAGACATCCTAGATAACATGAAATTATAAATTCAAATCAAATTTCAAACAATGTGATTAAATAATAACAATTATGCACATACATGTACTTATGTGAATGAATGAAAAATATGTGATTTGTTGAATATACCAAGAAAATGATTCATAAAAACAAAATATTTTTTTTTTTTGTTCATAAAAAACCCCAACTCACATGCGTGGATGGCTGACTAGTGGTGGTATTGAGTATTTGCACTTTCTTAAAAATTAAAAACAAAAAAATAAAACTTTGGTGGGAGTATTAAATGAGATTTTTTTGTATTCGTTTTTTTTTTTTTTTTTGCAATTTTTGTGGTTAATAAATTTTTAATTTTTTTTACAAATTTTCTAAATGATTTACACTTTTTATTGCAACATATATATAACAACATAAAGGCGACAAAATTAGAAGCAACCTTGATTTTTGGTCGCACTTCTTCACTTGATTGATATTTAATTCACTTTTATTTTGTTTATTATTAAATTAACGCCGACCCGTCGAACACGCACGTCTCGACATTGCCGTTTTTAAATACTCTTGCCCAACGGGGTCTTTTATAATACTAAACCGATGAGTATTTCTTTCGAATGTATTTCCGCCAAGTCAGCACAAATTTGTCTAAAATTCACACAGGCGGCAATAGCCGCACGTCAAATAAAATTGGGAGAGGGAAACGCAATAGCATAAGGAGAACAAAAGCAGCGGTGCTCAAAACCGTGTTCTAGAACATGAAGAGAAAAAAGAGATAATTTAAGAGAAAATTAAAATTCTGTTTTTCTTTATATTTTACGGTTCTATTTAATTGTTTTTAAACACGAATGTTTGCCAAAATAATTTATAAAGCAAATGGATAACAAATATTTGTATAAATAATGACTTAACACTGTTTTGTTCTTGATTTAAATAAGCAAAGAGAAATTTGACTGAAAAGAGATATTTCTTCTTGAGCACCGCTGACAAAAGACATGTTTTACCTTGAGGCGGAGAGCCAAGAGAAAAAGAGGACCATAAACAAAACATCATGTGGCCCCATTGAAACAACAGGCAGTGGGCCTGCACACACACAGAGTGCAATTTACTCGTATTGTTTTACAAAAGAGGGAGAGTGAAAATGAGAGTGCTGAGAAAACGTCATAACCACAAAAACGTATAAACAAATTATACTGAGCAACAGTTGTGTAAAACAGAATAAGGGACAGAGAAAGAGAGGTTCATAATGGAATACTTTATCGGACGTCTGGACCATTTCTAACAATTTAATTTGTTTCGTATTTTGTTAGTGGAAAGATCAGTATATATTTCACCATCGGTACATAAATAAAATTAACTGAAGAAAGCAACAAGTAAATAAGAATGAAGCAAAAGTAAACAAATGCCAAATGAAAACTAGGCCATAATTTGCAAAATGTGCACTAAATTCAAAACGTCAGTGAATTTTTTTTCGATAATTTTTCACCTGAGGATCCTTGGAAACCAAAAATAATAGTGCGTTTACACAGGACATATTTATAAGGTTATAGCACGCTTTTACTACTGATGATTAACCACAGGGTTTAATAGATCTTGCGGGTAACTTTACTTGTTTAAATACATAGTTACCCAGCTAGCATTTGGAAAATTGTTTTTGAGAAAATCGCGTTGCTGAGACTTTTTCGAGTCCTTTTGGTTATCAAGAACCTGATTGAACGATTGGAAAGAGTTCAATTAAATAAAGAAAAACAAAATGTATGGATGTCGCAAATCAATCATTGAGCCTTGTAAAATGTAACCACATAGTGGTAAGGGTATTATGCCTTTATGCATTTGTTTGCAACAGGAACGGTATAGGGGCACACCCTAATTCGCACTAGACACTCAATTTAAAACCGTTAGGTTTATTTGTAGAGGAACAAGCTGTTTGGTGTACCCTGCGATTCAATGAACTTGGACAATAGCGGAGTCATCCCTTTGGACACTCCGACATTCTCAAGTATGTGGAAAGCATAGGAAATCAGGCTATAGCTAGCGATTATATATCACCTTGGCACAGCCTTGAACTACTTGGAATCCATATACCTAACAGAGACATCTGCACCCGCGACACTCCACCTTTTAACGGTAAAGCTGTCTATACTTATGGGTCAAAGATGGAAATTGGAATGGGAGCTGGAGTCTACTGTGAAAGTCTAACTGAACTGGACGGACTGGTGTCTATATATGTCGGTAGTCAAGCGGCCCTGAAGGCTCTAAATTCATTTACAATTAAATCTATGGCACATCTGCAATGCAGGAATGCTCTGGAAAAGGTTTAATCGTTTGTCAAACTCTGTTGAGTCCCTGGGCACTGCAAAATTTTTGGCAATGAATCGGCCGATGAATTGGCCAGACGCGGATCTAAATCAGTAGATCTAGAGATTAAGAGTTCAGTGAAGCCACCCTTATGTCACTTCTTCCAAGTACTGCATAAGCATTAGCACTGGCTAACTGGAAGGGGATGTAATGTCTCCAGAAATGATTTACAACTCCGAAAGGAGATCAAGGTCACTCATATTCATGACATCCAAATGGGGGTTGACGACACTGAATACTGCAGGCTTTGTCAGGACGAGGAAGAAACTGAGACGGTGGAGCTCTTACTCTGCCACTGTCCAGCTCTTATAGGAGTGAGACAGAGGCTACTGGATAAGCAAATTCTGCCAAACGTATCCTCCCTCTCCGACATCGAGCCTGCAGTCATTCCTAAGTTAGCCAGAAGGCTAAAATGGCTAAGGACGACACGCTGATACACCGTGGATGCAAACCTACTAACTTCTCTACTCTTTATTCAGATTCTCGCTTATTCACTGTCCGTTATTCATTTCCTTCTCTTCTGTCTATTCTATTGTCCTATTTTCTTAAATTAGGATGAACAAAATGGGCCAATAGGTCTCCGACTGGAGTGGTTGTTTATACCGCGCATCCTTTAACCTAACATCGAAAATGAAGCGAAATAGATCCATAGTTACTTCAGGATCTTCATAGAATCACTTTCTGAGTTGATTTATGCTTTCCAGTCCGTCCGTCCATGTATTCTTGTGAACAAAATGCAGGTCGCATTTATTATCTGATTGAGATGAAATTTTCCAAACAATATTTGTTTGCCCCAAGGACAAACCCTATTGAAATTGGTGAGAATCGGTTCAAATTTAGATATAGCTCACATATATGTCTTCTACCGATTTCGGGTTAGTTGTGCTCTAAATTGCCAATGTCAATCCGAATTACCTAAATTTTGGCACATATCCGACCGAATTCAACTTGAGAAACATGTACATCAAATTTGGTGAAAATCGGTTCATATATGGCTTTAGCTCTCATATATATGTTTCATCCGATTTGGATATAGTTCCCAAGTTTTGACTACTTTAAAACCATGATACGCATTCAAATAAGGTTCATAGTTGGTATGATCTACTTCACATAAATTCCCAACATAAACTTTCTTTGTTACGGGAGCTGTACAAAATACGCATAATGGTGTAGGGTACCATATAGTCGGCCCTGCCCGACTTTAGACCTTTCCTTACTGGTTTTTGTTTCCAGTATTCCTGGTTATATTTCAGTTCACATTTTCCAATCAAAGCCCTATTTATTTTTGATCAAAGTGACTGAATTTCAATGGTTGTTTTTGGAAACCACTAAAAAGAGCCAATCCGTTACAATATCCGATCAATAAATAGTTACATGGCAACCTTGTCTAAACCTCATAACCTTTGGTTTGATAATTCAATCATTTCAAACGGCTGTCAGATTCGCGTCAGCTAATCTGTTGCATATTTCAGTTATCCGCTGTCTACAGTTCCACAATTGTTGCCTTGAGCAATGAATGGGTAATAATTGGCTTCATCTTCAAAAAAATTTACAACGACTTCAAGTGAAATTTGTATAACAAAAGCAAAGACATGTTTTATGTGTTCATTTATAATCACCTGTAGATGTTTGGCAATGAACGGTTTATAAATCTCCCAAAAATGGTCTCGCATTGTAACACAAAGAAAAACAGAAAAAAATCCCCTTCAAAACTCACCTCTCGCCCAGATGTGCCATTGTCGTTGCTGGATATTCTGAATCACCACCAATGTTAGTGTACGCTAAATCAGCTGGTGTAACACGATGATGCTCACAACCGCTGCCGCCACTTGTTTCTTTTCGTTTAGCCGCCTGACTGTCAATAATACCCCGACCATCTGAACACTGATTTTCATGTTCCAAAAACATGTTAGTGGCCACTACAGCATTTATACTCTTACGTTGCGATGTATTCGATCTCTGTCGTTTGTATTCGGAAGAGAGCGATTGACGTTTTGCTTCTTGTTCTTTTTTAAGTCTATCCATTAATTCCATATCGAATGGGGCTAAGGGGGTACTGAATGGACGTTCAAAACTGGTCGCGATTAGAGTCGATTCTTCGTCGTCATCTTCTGTGGTTTCGGGTATCGGTTGTGGTTCGTCAATATTGGTAATACCGGCCGGCGGTTTTAATAATGAAAGTGTTTCGTGCAAATCGTCATCATCGACATCTACTTTGTCTATTTTTATTTGTTGTTGTCGTTGTTTATCATCACCTGGTTCGTTTTCTTCTTCCGTTTTGTCGTGTCGTTGTTCCTCACCAATAACAGCTGTTTTTTGGTTGTTGACATTGCCAATTGTTGTTATTGTTTCCGCTGTCTCAGCATCTTCTGTATCAGCATCTTCACTCTCATTACCATCCACATGTGTTTGTTTTGTTAGGGGACTTTTATCCCCATCGCCACCACCTTCGCCAACCTCACGAAATTTTGAAGTGTCATCTTCTTTGTTGTTGTCGATGTTTACATTTTCGCTTTCTAAAATTAGAATGAATAATTTTCACAAAATCACAACGGGGCTCGATAAAATACATTTTTTTCATAATTTCAAAACTCTTTGGCCTTGATAAGACACATTTTTTATTGAACATTTACACACCCATTGCAATGGAAATTATTTTTTTATCACCACATCAATCACAGACACTTCAATTTCCATCAACTTTCAGAGTCCTTGAACATATGGCAAACTTTGTTATGAAACTCAAAAAATTGAAATCAGAAACTTGCAACTTCCATTATTAAACCAACACGTTAGATATTCTTGTAATTTATTTTGTTATCAACACAAAAATACTCGTTTTTCAAACGATACTCTTTTTTTTTTGTATTCTTTTTCGCATTTGCCAATTCCTCAACCATGCATAGATGGTATTGAACGAAAAACAACACCAAGAAATATAATTAATTATGTGTTATTTCAACACACCACCGACACAACTCAGCACGACAAGTTTTCCCTATCAACTGCTGCTGGTTGATACACTTTCTTTGAAAGGTAACAGATACAAAGAGAATGGTGTTGCCATATTTACATTGCGTTTTTGTTGGGTTTTTTCTCTTATGCTCTCACATAAAGAATAAAGAGAAATATTTAACTTATTAAAAAAATAAAGAGAGAAACATGAGAGATGAAATAGTGGATTTGAAACAGTGGTAACAATTAAAAATTCATATAAATAATTAAATAAAATAACAAAAAATTAAAAAAAAAGTGAAATCTTCCTTAAAATAATAGTACGATCCGTATACTTTAATGTTTGAAGATTATTTCATGCAAATGTTAACCGCTATTGCGCCTCAATTGGTCCCTCCGCCACGTCTTACTATCTTTCCAGGATAGTCGACGGTCACAAGGCGTTCGCAATTTTAAAAATCGACAAAAAATCTGTAGCTTGTAAATTATTTAAAAAAAAACACAAATATTTTTTGCTTTATAGCAAAACGGAATTGTTTATATTATCTAAAGAACAGAAAATGAATATGCATAACTATGCGCTTCAATAAAATATGAAAAAAGAAATCGGTTCCGCAAAATAAAAATAAAATAATAACATTAAATAAAAAAATAAAATAGATATAAAAACATAACAAAATAGATTTTTCTACTGAACTATAACTACGTTACAATAAATAGAGGGTGAGACAAAAAAACGGCAACAAAGTCAAACGCCATAAATTTAATTTTTTTTAAATTTTATTGAATGAAAGCAAAAAAAGTTAGAAATAACATCAAATTATAGAATAAGTTTAGATTTGTTCGAATTGGTCACCTTTGGCACAAATTATGGCCTTCAAACGGCCAACGAAACCATCACACGCTGCCCGAATGTTGCTCTGCGGTATTTTGGCCCATTCCCTGCGAAGCGCTTGCTTGAGATGATCGACACTTTGGTATTTTTTAGTGCCAACCTTGCCTTCCAAAATACTCCAGACACAATAGTCCAACGTATTGGTATCCGGAGATTTTGGTGGCCATTGTGCGCTGGAAATGAAGCGAGGAACCTCATTTTGTAAACATTATTGGGTGGCGCGTGCTAAGTCCGATGGTCTTGAGTCCTGTTGGAATGTCCAAGGTCTGCGGCCAAAATGTTTGCGTGCCCAAGGCTTTAATACACCTTCCAGAATATTTTCGCGATAATATTCGGCATTTATTCTGATGTGACGGTCGTTTAATACGAGCGGAGGGCGACCAGCGACTGTTATGGCGGCCCACTCCATAAGCATGGCCGGCGCTCGAGTTCTGGTGGCCAACCGAAGTTGCACATTTTCAGCTGACCTCTTTGGCAAGTAAACACGATCATTTTGTTTGTTTACAAACTGCTGGACAACGAATGTTTTCTCATCGGAGAAAACTAAATTCGGCACTATCGCCCAAGCAAAGCAACTCTTTAGCTCTTTTGAGTCTATTTTCTTTCTGTTGCGGTGTAAGTTTTTCCACTTTTTGGAATTTCAATGGCTTTACCCCGAGCTCATTTTTCAATATTTGCCGAATGGAATATTGCGATATGTTCAGCTCACGAGCAATTTTTCGGCCACTGTGACGCGGGTTTCGATCAAGTCGCTTCTTTACTATTCGAACCATTTCTGCTGATGTTGCTCTTTTTTTCTGTCCACTTCCTTGACCTCGGGCTACGGTACCAGTGTCACGGTAACGAGTGATGGTACGAGACACAAAAGATTTATACATATTTAAATGCTGGAGTGCTCTAACGATGCCCACTTGTGGTTTTCCAGCCAAATATAAAGAAAACACACTATCACGCTTGAATTCCATCACGAAAATGCTTTTGTATGCTTCTAAACAATATAATGAACTGTCACTGGAATAATTTAACCAGCTGTCCGACGAGTGGTAGAAATGACAGGAGTTTGAATTTGGTTGCAGTTTTTTCATCTCACCCTCAAAATCTCACATCAAAATATTTAGTTGTGTATAATCTTTAAATTATATAATTGTTCTTATTGTTATGTGTAGTCTTCCAACTTCCGTTAAATGGTATCTATGTCACTTGAAAGTAGCTCAACATTTTTTTAATGTCGATATTTACACGCTACCTCTACACGACTTGTTGATACTTTTGAAAACTAAATCGAAACTTTTTATTTTGAAAAAAAAATCAAAATAATTCAGATCGAGTTGTACCGTTATATGGGAGCTATGTCAAAGCGTGGACCAATATAACGCATCATATAACTTGGCTTGCCTATGGACCAAAATGCATATGTTTCCAAAATTACCCTTGTATCTGATTACAACCGGCGGAAATGGTTAAATCAACATCGAATATTACACTGATTAAGTATTTTTACATTGTGCGGTTTTAAATAAGTATGAATATTAAATTTAATTTATAGAAAAACAATTTACTTACATGTGTATTTTTCATTATTTTTGGATTGTGCTTATCATTCTCCTTTAGATTATTATGCTCCTCCAAAGTTACTTTTTGCAAACACCATAACGTAAGTTTTTATTGAGAACAAAAATTGATTATTTTTGTAGATTGTTGATAAGTATTCTCCATATCCTCGTGGTTTGCCATTGAAACAAGCATATTGCTTGGTTTTTCAAAATGAAAAATAAATTATTATTTGCATATTCATTCAAATTTTCAAACATAAAAAATAAACAAAAAAGATATATTCAATACGAAACCTAAATATTCATTCACATTTTAATAATGACCTAAAACTAAACGAAAATTATTTGTACAATATTTATATAGTAAAATTATTTTGTTCATAGGGTTTCCTTATCCAACAACCTAGGCCGGCATGTTGAAAAGCATCAAATAGCTCTTGTTTGGCTATACTATAATCTTTGGCATTGTCTTTGTTTTGAGCATAATTATTGGAGGCTTGATACAGGTTAAGATTTGGCACATTTTGCAATAGATAAATGTATTTTGAAAATAACATTTGTTTGCTGAGATATGAAATGGCGTTGTTTATCAAGCGTCCAGTATGTAAGGATATAATATCTATGGATCTATCACCGTATGTCCAATTAATACCAATACTTGGTATATGATTGCTGGGACAAAAACGGGAATTTCTGGTGCAACCCAAAAGAGGTCGATTCAGATGATAGGGTTTTGGAAGAAAATTCAATTTTTGTTCCAAACGTCCACACACAGCACGATATACATGCTTGGTATCAAACGCACAACCCAAAACAATGGAATACAGGTAAATGGGTTCGCTGAGGGTGGAGAGTAGAGAGCCTTGTACCCCCAAAACATTCCAACGGGCAATTTTATCAGAGCATGACATTATGAGTAGTGGTTCCTTGGCCGTTTTAATGTTGTTCCAAGATTGATGATGAAACCGATTGCCTATGGGTTCGGTTATTAGACCACCATGTAATTTTGTACGTAATTGGCCATATTCTCCATAGTTATTATTATCTGTAGATAAACTGGCATCGCCACAGGGTACATTACTCATGTAAAGATGAAAATTAATCTCTGCCTTGAGCGCAAATGAATACTGTAAACCACTTGGATTTCTCACGAATATGGAATTCTCTTTCAGCCCTGGACTTGAATGCCATTTTATTTGAGTATACAAAAATTTCATTAGACAACGTCGGGCTATTACCTCAGAATGTGAATCATTAAGTACACAGCCGTTGCAATCTATTTTACTGCCATGTATACATTTTGTTCCGGTAGCTAGAGCCACAACTTGAGCATTTTTAAAATCAAAATTACGTGTCATCACCACAGCAGATAAGGCTTTACATTGCCTTAGCTCAGGATTTTCTTGAGTTAATTGTGAGAAGCGATTTAGAACTAAATTTTCTATAATATCTGCAACGTATTGGGGCAGTGACAATGTACACATATTGGCATATGGCTGGGATGGATCTTCTCCTCCATCTTCTGGATATATTTGTGGTATAATATTAAAATTTAGATTTGTTGAGATCACCGACTGCTGTTGAGAGTTTCTGGAACTTTGCGGTATTATCTTGTTAAGAGCCTCTAAGATTTTTTTGGCTACCTCTATGCAAGCCAATTCTTTGGTTTTACCATCACCATAATATTTACATTTATTAAATATTGCAGACATCATGTAGAAAGTATCGTTTGTTGATGTACCCATTTCGGCTTCTAGATTGTAACGAATACCGGGGCATAGTTCATTTATATTTTGTAAAATATCAGTTGTGGCAGGAAATTTATTTCTGGGTTGACTACTTTTGTCTGCCTCTGGGGAATGTCGAGAATATTGATTATTGTTGTTGAATGGCTTCGATGATGCATTGAATGGATTCATATCTTGCTGATCTGGTTTATTGCAAGGTCTAGATGACTGATTAATGTCATTGAATGGATTCGATGGTGGATTGAAGAAATTAATTTCTTGCCGATCTGGTTCATTACAATGTCGAGGATACTGACTATTGTCGTTGAAAGGATTCCAAGGACTGTTGTAATCACAGTTTGCAAAATTGTTGTTGGCTACATTAATTTCTTGGCTACAGTTGTCTGTGCCAGAATACTGGCTACGGCTGTTGCATAAACTCGCTGGAGAATTGAAATAAGCCGTGTTACTGTTGTTTTGGTCCCATACATTCATTTGTTGCCTACTTGTACTTGGTCCATTGAAATCTCGTGAATGTGGATTATTATCATTAGAGGAATTTGATGGATGATCATTGCAATGGGCGGTTGCGCTGTTGCGTGCATTTCTGACATTGTACGGTTGTTGATGTTTCCGTATTTGTCCTTTAAATCGTTGTTTATTTTGAAAATGTATTGAAGGATTCCTACGAAAATTACGTCTTCGAGACAGATCTGAAACATAAAAAAATATTTTTGAAAAATAATTGTTATCAACAGATCTAAATTGTAAATACCAAGCCTCCAATTGCGTGAATTATTTCTAAATTGTTGTTGGGGTTCTTGTGGATTGCTCAGAGTTATGTTAACATTTCTTCCTTGCATTGTAACATTACGTAATCGCCGATTTTTGGAATGTTCTTGGATATGTCTATCCACCATTCCAGGAGCTTCATTATTTCGATTTGTTGATCTGCAAGTTATTGTTCGATTTTCTTTGATAGCGGTTGCGGGGTCTTTCAGTTCAGTATTGTCTCTGCGAGTTTCATCATCAAGATCTGAAAATTTTATAGAAATTAGACAATAAAAGAGAGTAGTCCTGCAAAAACACTTTTCAAACTCTTCAATATTTAAAATATCCTCTAAAGGACTTCTTAAGGGAAATAAAAGTAGACATCTTAAGGCTTTTAAGTCGAGAAAAATTTTCTTCTTAAGAGAGAAGAACATTTGCAAGGTTTTGAAGACTAGTCTTATAAAGATTGAAAAGTCCTTTTTACATAGAGGACCTTCTCAGGTTTCAAAAGGGTTTCTAAAGAAGGCACCTTATTAACGTGTTTATTGATAGGACAACTTTCAAGGTTTATTAACGGTTTAAACCTATTCAAAAGAGACCCTTGAGGTATTTAAAACAAATTCAACATTTAAAATTACCAAAGTGCGAAGACCTTGCAAAACTTATTTCGCTGTCTTTGAGCGTTTTGTTCTTCGAAATCTTGAACCCTATGTGGAGGAGGTAGCAAAAGAAATTGTTCGATCTCTACCATCTTTATAACAGTTCTTGTGTTGATGGAAATATAGAGATTACCAAGTCTGGAATGGAATCGAATGTTAATTTCACTTTTTATGAGCTTAATGGATACTCAAAATTTTGAGACTTTGTGGGGGAGGTATCAGAAGGAGTGGACCGATATATCCCATCTTCACAACAGATCTTGTTTTAGTAGAAATAATGGGATGTGTGCAATATAAAGAGAACCTGATGTTTATTTCGGATTTTGTTAACTTTTTTGTTATTTAAAACATCCTTTGTGGGGGAGGTACCGGAAGGAATAGTCCGATCTCTACCGTTTTTTTTTTTTTTTTTTCAAAAATTCTAGGTCTGAATGGAATGGATATTCAAAATTTCGACCTATCGTGGGGGAGGTATCAGAAGAAGTGGACCGATATATTCCGCCTTAATGCCAGATCTCGGGTTAATAAAGTTTTTGGGATGTGTGAAATTTCAAGACAATCAAATTCTTACATCATATTTTATAAGAGTTGTAATTATTCAAAATGTTGACCCTTTGTGGGGGAGGTACTTGATGGACTGGACCGATATAGTCCATTATTGCACCTGACCTAGCACTGACGCAAATATTAGAATTTACAAAGTTGAACCAAATTCGGATTATGGTTTCTCTTTCTGTGCAGAAAATATATTTTTTGAAAATTTCGACCTTTTTTGGGGTAGGTACCAGAAGGAGTGGACCAATATATTCCATCTTAATACCAGTCCTTGGGTTAATAAAAATATTGCGATGCCCATAGAGGGAAAACCTTCTAAACGCCTTCATATATAGACTAATCTTTGAATGTATTCTTCAGATGGAAGAGCTACGAAACGCCTTCTATAGACAAAAATATTTACAGATTTAAAGGACAACTATCAGCCTTCTTAAGTCGAACATGTTTCTAATAGGCTTTCAATAGATAGACGTCCTTCAGAAAATGGGATAACATCTGAAGAACTTCTCTAAAAAAAATTTATATAGGAGGTCTTCTATAGGCAGATGATATTTCTGAAGGTCTTCTATTGAAACTATAGATAGTATATAGAAAAACAAACATCTGAAAGTGTTCTACATATAGAAGATTTTTAAGGAGACCATCCCATAATTTTATTATTTATTCTCATTTCTTGGTTATGGCCACTCAGAATTATATTATGGCCAAGACAGCTTTCTTAACATAATTCTTATGAATAAAGTGATCGTTGGCATCAGGAACTTCATTATTTCGATTTGGACAATTTTGGAATATTATCGGTCGCAGGTGTACTTTAGTTTTGCCTTAATAGAATTGTATTGACGGACTAGAAACAATTATATTAAATCATACCTTTATCTTCCTCATTCCTTTCCATGACTTCCGAAGAAATTTCATCATCGTTCGTCAACAATTGCGATACACATTCATTTATTATTTCTTCCTTTTCCTGATTATCATCGCAATCGAGATCAATTGTTGCGGTTTCTTCTGTCATTGATATTGGGGAAACATAATTTGAACTGGCAACTTCAGACGAAAAATTTTCATTTGACTCAACATCTTGATTTTCATCGGAAGCAAGATCAATTGTTGGTGGTACCTCGATTATGGCTATAACAGCATCATCATTATCTATATTGCTATTAGCTACAGAACTACTCTCGTTGTTTGTATCATTCAAAGGGGTATTGTTATCATAACCGCTAGATATGAGATTAATTGATGGGGGGTTAGGCGCATTTATTACCAGAATGATATCATTTTCATCGCTGTTTTCTGCAGCATCAATATTTGTAGGACTTGCAACATTAGCTGGAAATGCAACGGGAGCGACGTTGATTTCCCCTTCTTCTTGTTGTAACTTATCATCTAACGACGGAATATGCTTTTGTGAAGTATCTGATACTTCTTTTATTTGGTTGGGAGCCTCATTGTAGTTTGCAATTTCATTTTCTTTGTTTTTATTTTCCGGGCTAACAGCTGTTTCGATTTTTGGTATTTTTATTGGAGACATTAAATTACATTTGGACCGTTTCTTTTTCAATGTTTGCAATGGATTTTTTACAACCAACGGTGGGGGCATATTGGATAAATCTTCATCACATTCCGTGGCATTGGCAGGAACTTTGGATAAATTTAGAGATTCTTTGTTTTTGCTCTGCAAAGGAATTTCCTCCGCAGTTGATGTATTGTTTTGCTTTCTCACATCTTTCAAGGCAGCCAATGCTGCCTTCCTTATAGCTATTGGTGTAGTGGGCGCCGAAGTAATGTATGTTTTTTCCTTATTCACTTTAAGTGTAACCTGGAACGTACATTTGTTATGCACCCCCATTATCATGGTGGAAGCATATTCAAGAGATTCACAGCGCTCCTTGAGCAGTGATAATGGATCTGTGGTTGGAGTATCAAGATCCATTGTTTTCTAGAATAAAAATATTTTATTATTCTTGGATAAAGAAATTTTTATAAAGGATTGATAATTACATTTTATAACATTTGCTTGCTCCATGAAAATGCAACGTCTACAAAAAAGTAAAGAAATAAAATGGTGATTAATTTCTGGTTACGTGTATTAATAAAAAATAAGCGCAGAAAATCAAAAGCGCAAAAGCGGTGCCCTACACCACTATATGGGATATATTAGATATTAGGAATAAAGATATAGTTTGCATACCAATCATATTCGATATATTGGCATGACTATTAGTCTTGGACAATATTTCTATAACTTTTGTTGTTGCGGCAGAACAATATTTTGGTTTCGTTAGTTCGGCCCATTTACGATGCTATTGGATTATTAGTTGGGTGGGCAGTAACATTGTACACCATATAAAAAATATCGTTTACTTATTAAATTCTAATTGGGAATGAACGTTTAACGGCAGAACCCACACTATTCAGTATAGAGGCTTGAAATTTTAAACGGGAACAGAAACCAAGGACACTTTGCTTTGAAATATCGAAATATTGGAATGAATATATTTGGTTCCACGTTTAGGTATTGGGCTCATATAACAGTACCTCCTGAGTTTCGGATCTTTAAGGACAATAGTATTTGAAAATATCATGTTTTCACATGGCAGATGATACAAACATCGTTTCTTCGTGTTATAATATTAAGTTGAATCGTAATGATAATTGTTAAAAATTTTCGGTATTTTTTGCTGGGATATAACAATCTTTTCACTACGTTATTAGAAATTTGATATGCCAACAAGCAAATGTTGGCTCTAAACTTTGAGAAAGCTCCTCGCATCCCAATTGGCAAGTACAACCAAATCTTGATTTTACTTTGTATTTGTTAAGAAAATAAATACATTATGGAATTCGTGTGGTTTGTGTTAAATAAATTACTTTTTCTTAATTTACTTTAGTTTATTTTCTCAAAAAACACGTACCGGACGACTTTCCACACACAAGAGCGATTAAAATACAGTGCCCACATACAAAACCAACGCCGTCGATAAACGAAACAGAGTGGCAAAAAGAAGATCGATGATGATCACAATGAAAATAAACAGCTGTAATCTATTGTGAACTATTATTAGTGAACAGAACATGGTAGAAGAATTTATAAATTTAAATAATTTTTCATTCAACATTTTCAATTCCAAAATTGGTTTGACAGTTCATTGTCCCAGCAGCTGTGTCAATGCGTCTACCCAAGGTAGATGTACTAGGTAATCGCATCAGCCCAGCTGACGGCACCATTAAATGTCAAAACAAATTGTTGTAATGATGAATTCGCCCTAAATGAATGCAACAACAAATTTGTTTATGTTTTCTTCCATAAATAATTTAATAATTAATTAAAGAGCAAGTTTAGAGTGAAACCAGTAAAAAAAAAATAAAAGAAAATGAAAAAGTGCTCGATTTGCAATAAGAAATATTGTGATGGAAATTTAACACTATTTAGTGTTCCTAAAGATGAAGGAAGGAGGTTCGAATGGAGTGCAGCTTGAGGTATTAAGTTAGTCCCAACATCTAAGATTTGTATGGACCATTTTAATCCAAAGCACATCACGGGAAGTAGTGCAAGAATTCGACTCCAATGAATTCTATCCAATTTTTTGCGATTCTGTTCCTGGATATTATGTTGTTGGCTATTGGCCAAGTTATTGAGATTTTGATATTCATATCCTGCTGTTGCTGCTATTGAATATGTGGTGAATGTATGGTCATATGCTTTGTAGTTTGGTACCCTGATTTTGCATAGAACGATATTGGTGCTATGTTTTTTTTTTTTTTTTTTTTTTTCTTTAAAACCATTTTTTCTATATTTTTTATTGAATATAAATTGCGACGTTCGTTTACGACGAGAGGCACACAAAATAAAATGTAAACAAACACTTGTTTCTGATTGGTTGAAACAAATTTGCCGCAACCTTTAAATGTCATGGCGAATCTATGTTTTTCGCCTTAGATGCCAATTTTGACATTTGAGGGGACCACAAAAGTTACTTTGTTGTAGCAATTCGCCGATGCGGTTACCTGTTAGATCTACCTTGCGTCTACCTATATTCTTCTACCATGGAAAAATCGCATGGTAGAAGAACATAGGTAAACGCATCGACACAGCTGCTGGAGCAATGAACTGTCAAACCAATTTTGGAATTGAAAATGTTAAATGAAAAATTATTTTAACTTGCAAAAATTGTTGAAAAAATGCGAATTATAATAACCTCCGAATGACGTCATATAAGAAAACATATATGAATCTACTTATATTTGAAATAACATTTAAAATGTTTTGACATATCAATGTTTCCATGAAAAATCGGTTATTAATGTAAAAATTTGAACATTCTTGCATTTCTGGAACAGAGCTTACATGAACCGTACTAACAATTAAAATAAAGACTTCCAGCATTTTTCGGAAAACAAAGAAACAAGGATTTTTTAATAGAATGTGTTTGTAAACTAAAGTAATATATTTTTATGATTGTAGTTATTGGAAACAAGACTGAAAAGTCACAGTGGAAATGGAAGTAACTTTTTATATTTTTTTTTTACATTCTAACAAAAAAATGTCCATGTGATTGTTGTTTCAAATTGTGTTTTGCAACTTTTTAATTGCATTCAACTTTAGGGAAACAAAATCAAATATGGATTCGCTTTTACTACATTTACTATACATTGCTCTGTTCCAGAACTGCAAGAATGTAAAAGTTTTTGCAACGATAACCGATTTCCCCTTTATGATATAGCAAAAAATTATAGATTTTTGCAGGTACTGGAACAGATCACATGTAGGCCGAGTAAAAATAATAGTTTTTGATTGCTGAAAGATTTCCATATTATCCTGACAATTTCTCTTGCCTTCCATTCCTTTACTTTCTGGAAAAGTAATTCTCTAAGAGCGATTTTTTATTTCGCTTTCAAACACATAATTTTTTTCTCTTTTTTCTTTTTTTTTTTCTCTTTTATAAGCAAAATAAAATTAGATTTTATATTATTCCTAATTTTGTCATTAACTAGTTACAAAATAGTAGTAAAGTCTGATTGGATTCTCATTAAGTCAATAATTGCCTTTTAATTGTTGTTTTTTCATTTTCTTCATATTAAAGTGCCATTGACTGTTACGCCATGAACTTGGTGGGTGCCCAGGTCTATTTACATTCTTTATATATATCGATAACGACTTATCGAATCACATATCGATTGTATGGAAATGCCATCGGTCATCTCTAATTTTCGGTACAGAGGGACGACCACCGCAAACAGCAGGTTTCTACACGGATATTTTTGAAGAATATTATTAAAGTTCCAGGATTTTCGTTAAGGACAATAAATAGAACAAAATGGCAGTACGCTTGGCACAGAGATTGATGAAAACACAAACTCCCTTCCTATGCAGGGTAAGAAGTGAATGCAAAGAATTGCGATTCTTGGGATATCCAAAAATTACATAATGGAAGATTCTATATAGTCTGAAAACTGATCTCACTCAGCAACAGGGTAATCAACGAACGATGTTTTCTTTATTTCTCCACACAGAGCTACCCTATGTTGGTAACCAAGGAAAAGACTGAAGATGTGGCCCACACCAAGTCATCGTTGCAAAAGAGATTGACGGTAGGTCCTTAACAGTTTTGAGGTTATAGACGGAGTTTGTTTTGATGTGATATATCTTGTGCGGAATTGTTTCTTGTAGGTCCCTGAGATTCCTCAAGCCCAGTATGGTGGTCGTCATGCTGTCACCATGTTACCCGGTGGTGGTATTGGTCCCGAACTCATGAGCTATGTACGTGAGATTTTCGCCTACTGTGGTGCTCCCATCGATTTCGAAGTCATCGACATTGATCCCTCCACCGAGGGCAACGAAGATTTGGAATATGCCATTACTTCAATCAAACGTAACGGTGTTGCCATTAAGGGTAACATTGAAACCAAGTCCCAGTCATTGACCGAAATCTCCCGTAACGTTGCCATTCGTAATGAACTTGATTTGTTTGTCAATGTTGTTCACTGCAAATCATTGCCCGGCATCCCAGCCCATCACAAGGATGTTGATATTGTTTTGATTCGTCAAAATACCGATGGTGAATATGCTATGTTGGAACATGAATCTGTTAAGGGTGTCGTTGAGAGTATGAAGGTTGTTACCGTGGAAAATGCTGAACGTGTTGCACGCTATGCCTTCCAATATGCTCGTGAAAATGGTCGCAAAAAGGTCACCACCATTCACAAGGCTAACATCATGAAAATGTCCGATGGTTTGTTCTTGGAAGTCGCCAAGAAGGTGCACAAGGATTATCCTGAATTGGAACACAACAATATGATTATCGATAACACTTGCATGCAGTTGGTATCTAATCCTCATCAGGTGAGTGTGTAGAAGGATGGTGATTGACTAAATAAGTTGTGATAGACGTTTTACAACTACTCTACGAATAGAAGGAATTTACATAATTTATAAAACTATAAAAGATAGAACAAGTATAGATGGAACACGTTTTACCCGTCTTGTGTGGATAGAACGAACACGTGTATAAGTTAGAAGACGTCGTTTTTCTGTCACAGACTTAAATATAGAATACGTTTTCAAATCTTCTATTCATTATGAACTTTTGAAAGGAGGTTATATTGCATGAATAATTATTCCTTTCTCATTCCAGTTCGATGTCATGAACATGACCAACTTGTACGGCACCATTGTCTCCAACGTTATCTGCGGTTTAATTGGTGGTGCTGGTATCTTGTCTGGCCGTAATTATGGTGATCATGTTTGTATTTCCAAAAGATTTGTTTTGAAATTGATTTACATATTTTAATGATTTATTTTGTTTTTCTAGTATGCCATCTTTGAACCTGGTACTCGTAATACTGGTACTGCTATTGCCGGCAAAAATATTGCCAATCCCTTGGCCATGATCAATGCCAGTGTTGATATGTTAAATCATTTGGGCTACAAGGATCATGCCCGTGTTATTTCTGAGGCTGCTTATGAAACTGTTGTCGAAAGGGGCATTAGGACTCCAGGTAAATTATAACATTTATGGGCTTCTAGATTGCAATTCTAATTAAACCCTGTTTTGTAAACAGATATTGGCGGCACCAACAACAGCACAGATGTTATCAAGAGTATTTTGGATATTCTCTCCAACAAACGTGTCCACTGGTAATGTTTTGTTTTCTACCAAAAACTATTTTAAACATCCATCCTGCTGTTTTGTTTACACTATCTTAAAACAAAAATGTAGTAGTTGGTTTTGTTTAATTTTATTTTCTATTTAGATTCGTATGTATTATGAATGTTATTCGTAAACTTAGTTGCATTTATTATTTCCCTCTTTATTTCCTCGCCTGTTATATCTATTTCATTTTCTTGAATGTTTCTATATAATATGTAGTCTAGTATTATCTTTTGAGTTGTATAGTTTTTAATTTATTATTTTTGATTTATGTAAAAATGTATTTTTTTAAATCCCAAAGATTATTTACTGTATTATTTCCTGTTGATTTTCTCTCAGCCAGCCTGTCATCACATTTTATGTTCGTTTCTAAAAAGTGATGGTAGCTTTCTATTCTTAATGTTCTTCTCCTTTTTTTTTGTGATCCTTAACACAAGCTTCTTTACTAACATTTAAAACAAAACTTGTAATTATTTTGTATAATCTAACGCTACTAACATCATTTGTATCCCTTACACAAATGTCGTATACTAACGAGTAGATTGTCCTATTGGTAAACTGCTGCAAAGTATTAGCAGGCTGCTCCAGAGATCATTTGCTGTGGAGTAGATTTGATTTGCATCATTTATTTCTTCTACTCTACAGTAAATAATCCCTTAGTACACACACCAGTAGGTCCATCTGATATACAGAAGATGCCTCTTTGGAACACGTACTGCAAAGTATATGCTTTTATTGGGCATCTGCTGTACCGAACATGGTCCTTAAGATCATTCGTGTAGAGTAAATGAACCTTTTACACACTACACTGCTACAACAACACCCTCCTATCCTAATTGGTTGAAATGAACTCTTTATATACTCTATATTCTGCACACTTGTATCACAGCCTGCACCCTACACACACTATACACCAACACAATATTACTTTTTTTTATAATATACACACACAAACACACACGTATGTAGAAAAAACAAAAACACAGTAGAACACAAATAGTAATTGTTAACATCTGTATTTGGCTTTTTAAATTATTTTACCAATTTTTTCCAAATTATTTTCTTTTTTTTACAAAATTTTTACAACAACAAAAATAATTGATATTAATAATGTTTATTTTTTCCAAATTCTTTCTCGTATTTATTCCCCCTCCTCCCAACAACAAAACACGGCTTAATTGTGTTTACATGCTATCCATCCACCACCCATTCGAAACCAAAAAAAAAAAAACACAATCCAAAACAAAATTGTTACATGGTGTTTGGTAAATGCGATGCGACCACGTGTGGATTATTGTGTATGTGTTTTGTTTAATTGTGGTTACAGGCCTCATGGAAACTATTTCATGCAAAACTAATGTTCTAAGAAATAGTCAAACACAAAAAAAGAAACAACAAACTTAATATTTAACCACCAAAAAATAATGGAAAAAAATCCCAAGATTTTTTTTAAAAATAGCTTTAAGTTAAGTTAAAAAAAAAAACAAGTTCCCATTAACATGCTTAACAACCTAGTTAACCACTAATTGCAAAACAAAAACTGTAAGTTGTGAACTAGACAAGACATTATCCCGAAATGCATCCCGCTGATGGCCATGTATCCCAAGGACGTGAATGTGAAAGATGTGTTTTTTAATTGTTGCCCCCCTCGTTCCTGTGCTAAATGTCACCCGCCGCCGCTCAATTGGCATTCTAACCAGTAATACAAAATTTGAAACTCTTGCCAAACCAATTCGAGAATTTTAACAATTTTCCCCCCAAGACTACTCCAGTGTTTTTAAGACCAAGCAATGAAACTGCCTATACATAAAAGGTAAATGCTTATGAAATAATTTTTTTTATATTTTACATCGTTATGAGCAATTTAACTCGTTATAAAGATCTATTTATATTCAAAAAAATCAAAAATGTCGAAAAAATATACCGGATGAGATAAAAAAACTGTAACAAAGTTTATTGAATGAAAGCAAAAAATGTCGGAAATTTTAGAATAAGTTTAGATTTGTTCGAATTGGTCACCTTTGGTACGAATTATGGCCTTCAAACGGCCAATGAAACCGTCACGGCTGCTATGGCGGCCAACACCATCACCTGGCCGGCGCTTGAGTTCTGGTGGCCAACGTGCACATTTTCAGCTGACCTCTTTGGCAAGTAAACACGATCATTTTGTTTGTTTACAAACTATTGGACAACGAATGTTTTCTTATCGGACAAAACCAAATTCGGCAGTTCACCAGTTCTTATGCTAAGTTCTTATGCTTTTTGAAATTTCATTTGCTTTACTCCGAGCTCACTTTTCAATATTTGCCGAATGGTATATTGCGATATGTTCAGCTCACAAGCCATTTTTCGATCACTGCGACGCGGGTTTCGATCAAGTCGCTTTTTTATTTTTCGAACCATTTCTGCTGATGTTGCTGTTTTCTTCCGTTCTCTTCCTTGACGTCGGGCTACGCTACCAGTGTCACGGTAACGTGCGAGCCAAACATAAAGAAATCACGCTTGAATTACATCACGAATAACTTTTTTTCTGGAAAATTCCTGCCAACATGAATGGAATAATTTTAACAGCTGTTGGACGAATGGCTAAGAAAAGACAGCAGTCTGAAGTTGGTTGCAGTTTTTTCATCTCACCCTGTATTTGAAATTGTGAATTTTTTCAAGAATTTTAAATTTTTATTTTTATTTATTATCATTTCTTAGTGTTTAAACAAGTTATTAGACTTTTAAGACCGGATTTTTTTTTTTGATAGTAGTTTTTTAATTTTTCAGGATTTGATTAAAAAAATTTGGTTATAACTTTTTTGTTTAAAAACCAAAAAAAAAATAATAAAATCTTTCTCGAAATGGTGTAAAATATAAAAGCACACCAACTTTTGTCTCTTTGTTCTCTTGTCACTTTTTCGTTTATTTATTTTATACTATATTTTTTATTACCTCTATTATATCTCAAACTAATGTATTTTTCTTGCCCTTCCTTTCTCTCTTTTCTTTTCTCTATTTCATGTCTTTACAGAGTTTCTTTTAACACCTACACACAATACCAGTTCTTAGATGTTTTTTGCCAATAAGAATGCTCAACGTCTTTCACATGGAAATACATATGATTTTCCAATAGTTTTTTTATTCATACTTTTAATAGCAATGAAATTCCAGATTAATATCGTTTTCAACACTTGATATACACAAACAACCAGGTTCAACCAAATGGTTCAATTTGAGGACTGGACTATAAATATTTAGCTATTACCAAGAAGACAATTGGATACTCTTTAACGATAAGCAAAGAGTCGAAAGCAAAACAATACAAAACTACAAAAAGATATTGTTTCAAATTTACTTGACTCCTGTGTATTTGTTTTATTCTAAACTACTCAAAACGTCCTTGTTGTGCTTAGTTTCCTATGATTTTATGAATCTTTAGTTTATTTTTTATTTATTTTTTTTTCAAACCTGACCACAACAACCGTATATGTATTAAATTGATTATCTCTTTTCCCTCCTATTATTTTATTACTTATTTGTTTTCTTATCCTTTTTAAAAAAATATCTATATTATTATTTTAATTTTGTTTATTTAGAAATGATCGATCAGTCAGTCAGTCACAAGTATAAACAATAACACAAAATCATGTATTATTTTTTCGAATATTTGTTAGATAGTCAAGTAAATAAAGTAAATTATTTGAAAAAATAAATTAAAAATGGTTTTATTTTAACGGATTTAGAAAAGTGGATTTTTTAAGTAAAAGTGGATTTAAGAAAAAGAGGCTTTGATTTTTTAAAGAATATTTTATCAAGGAACAAAAGGCCAAGAGACGTGTATTTATTTAAACGATTTTTTTCAAGTATCAACAGAACAAAAGGCTTTGATTTTTTAAAGATTATTTTACCAAGGACCAAATGGCTAAGAGTATTTAAAGACTATTTTTTCAAGAACCAAACGAGCAAGAAATTGGATTTTTTTAAAGCATATTTTATCAAGGACCAAGAGACGTGGATTTTTTAAGACCAAGAAACGTGGATTTTTTAAGAATATTTTTTAATGACCAAGAAACGTGAATTTTTTAGAGAATATTTTTTCAAGCACCAAGGAACGTGGATTTTTTAAGAATATTTTTCCAAGGACCAGGAAACGTAGATTTTTTAAGAATATTTTTCCAAGGACCACGAAACGTAGATTTTTTAAGAATATTTTTCCAAGGACCAGGAAAGGTAGATTTTTAAGAATATTTTGTCAAGGACCAAGATAAAAAGCAACGTCGGGTTTTAAAGGATTGCTTATTGTCCTTGAGGACTATGAAAACGGGGATTACCAAATGAATGTTTCTTGTTCTTAAGGACAAAGAAACGTGGATTTTTAAAGAATACTTTTTTAATGACCAAGAAATAAAAAATCGCGGATTTTAAAAGAATATTTTTTTATTAAAGAAACGCGGATTTTTAAAAGAAATATTTCTTATTATTAAGGACAAAGAAACGTGGATTTTTAAGTATATATTTTTTAAGGAACAATAAGCGATAATTTAAAAAAAAAATATATTTTTTAAGGACCAATAACGTGGATTTTTTTAAAAATATATTTTTTAAGGACCAATAAGGGAGTATTTTTTAAAATATATATTTTTAACGACGAAAACGTGGATTTTTTAAAAAAATATATATTTTTTGTAAGGACCTATAAACGTGGATTTTTTAAAAAATATATTTTTTTAAGGACCAATAACGTGGATTTTTTAAAAAATATATATTTTTTTAAGGACCAATAAGGGAGAATTTTTAAAAATGTATATTTTTTAACGACTAAAACGTGGATTTTTTAAAAAAATATATATTTTTTTAAGGACCAATGAGCGAGTATTTTTTAAAAAAATATATTTTTTAACGACCAAAAAAGTGGATTTTTTTTTTAAAAAGTGGGCTTTTTAAAAAATATTTTTAAGGATCAAATGATGTTGATTTTTTATAGAAGAATTTTCAAGGACCAAAGATAAAGAACGCGGATTATTGAGTCACATTTCTTAAGAACCAAAGACCAAGAAATTATTAGAAATTATGTGAGAAAATGCCAAGCGGATTTGGTAGTGCTTTGTTTGTACATCAAAACTGCAAAAGAATTTCGGGTTCTAGATCTAACTTTTTTAAGTCATTTATGTAGACTTAATGATATACGAAGGGACCTCCATATTTTGAGATATATTCGCAACATTGAATATAGAGCTTTGAAAATAGAGAACTTTCGATTACTTCGATACGAAGAAACCCTTCAAAAATGCCAATGCAAATATCTTCTATTTTTAGCTCTACTTTCATAATCTGCTGGATTTTTTCCGTAATAATTGAAAAAATTGGCGCAATGTAAGTTTGGATTTCCAAAAACACCCAAAATTTCTGCATCAACCCTCGTTATCGCCACCATACACCTTGACATTCATATTTTGCCAATAGCGCCAAATGTTGACAATTATGCGAGAAAATGAAGAAACGACAATAGAGGACCGTTAACATTTTAGTACAAGCAACCTTCTAACATATTTACAAACACACGCCGGAACTTAGTTGGTGGAAAGTCAAAGTCAAACGTTTATAATTTAATAAGACAAAAAAATATTTTTAGATTTTTAAAGAAATAATAAAAATTGACTATTACTTTTGATAAAAAAAGGCAGCATTAAAGCGACAAAGTAATTTTTATCGGAAATTTTAATTATTAATAATAAAAACGAAGGTGGGTTATATGTCCAAATCAGGGTCTGTATTAATTTCTTATAACCTCCAATACAGTGGATAAAGTGATGAGACCATATGACATAAAATATGGATTACATATTGCCATTTTCTCTCACCAAGTGTATGAATCTATATTGGTGAAATGTGAGGGGGTTCTCTATACCAAATCGTGTTCAGTAAGCTTTTTTTTTTAAATACTGTCTTAAGTCAAATAAAAGTTCCCTTTCAAGGCAACTTTTCCTTTTAAACTCCTTCAATTCTTAAAAAGAGTTTTCCAATATCTTGAAAATGACACCCAACCATGCAATGGTATTTACGGATATATGGATGGCTGTTTGTGCTAACATTTTCAGAAATGATCTGCGTAGGGTCATTAGATTTGAAAAAAGAATCGATATTGAAAATATAAAACCAAACTAAGTCGTTGGAAGAATTATGCTTTGGATGTTGAAATTCATAAAAAAATTGTATTCCAAAATTATTTTTTCCTGAAGCTTTGAATGTTCCTGAAACAATCTTCCTAAAAAAATTACTTTTGGAGATGGAGAAATTCTTAAAAAGAAAATAATTTTAAAATCAAGGAATATTGGCGAAATAATTAATATAACCTACGTTTATTGGCTTGATAGATCTTGAAAGAAAATCCTTTAAAAGTTTTTGTATATGGAACTAATTATTCTTTAACAAATATTTTAAAAAAACCACTTTTAATGGCCATGGACATTTCTCGAAAGAACATTCTTTCCACTTTGAAATAATTCTTAAAAAATTGTTTTAAAAAATATTGGCTTGAACAAGGTATTCTTAAGAAATCAACAATTTGTTTCCTGTTAGTTCTGGAAAATCCACATTTATTAACATAATATTCGTAAAAAATATACTTGATTATAAAATTGGCTTGATAGTTCTTAAAAGTATATTCCATGATTATCGACCTGATAATCTTTGTTTATTGTTATTTAATATATTTCATAATAGTCTTGCAAACTCAAAATTACTGATAATTATTAAATGTAAACGTATTCCTTTGATTCAAATGTTTTCCTATAACTTTGGAACTCAGAAGCCAAATTTGGCAACCGACATTATTTGTTGAAAAAATATTTAATTAACAGAACTTTATCAACATTCTTTTTTCAAATCCTTTGTAAATTCAGATTTTTAGACAGAATGGCCTTGCGCTATGTACAAAAATTGAAGGGGATTCATACTCCATTTCTGTGTCGGGTAAGTTTTTCCAGATTTATATTCGCTAACAAACTTTCATAGGTTGAGTTTGTCTGGTTTCAGGGTTATCCCTTTCTAGTGACAAAGGAAAAATCTAAAGATGTTGCCTTTACTAAATCCTCGTTGCAAAAGAAGTACAAGGTATGATTAAGTTTCTTTTATTTGTCCGGACTTTCAGTAAATTAATATCCTTGCCTTACAGGACCTTGAATTTCCCCGAACAAAATATGGGGGTCGCAGTGTTGTGACCATGCTTCCCGGCGGTGGTATTGGTCCCGAACTAATGACGTATGTGCGAGAGATATTTTCCCATTGCGGCGCCCCCATTGACTTCGAAGTTATCGACATTGATCCCTCCACCGAAGGCAATGAAGACTTGGAAAATGCCATTGTTTCGATAAAACGAAATGGTACCGCCATCAAGGGTAACATTGAAACGACTTCACAAAATCTAAGTGAAATTTCACGCAATGTAGCTATTCGCAATGAATTGGATTTATATGTGAATGTGTTACATTGTAAATCATTGCCGGGGATACCGGCACGTCATCAAAATGTGGATATTGTATTGATACGACAAAATACCTACGGTGAATACGCCATGATGGAACATGAAGCTGTACGCGGGCATGTGGAAAGTTTGAAAATTATGACGGAAGAGAATGCTGAGAGGGTGGCACGTTATGCCTTTGAATATGCTCGTCAACATGGCCGTAAGAAGGTCACCACAATACATAAGGCAAATATTATGAAATTATCGGATGGTTTGTTTTTGGAAATGGCCAAGAAGGTGCATAAGGATTATCCCGAATTGAAACATGAAAATATGATTATTGACAATACGTGCATGCAGTTGGTGTCGAATCCTCATCAGGTGGGTACTAGAAAATTGAGATTTTAATTTAATTTAATTAATTTAATTTTCCAGTTCGATGTCATGAACTTGCCAAATTTATATGGTACAATTGTGGCCAATGTAATTTGTGGCCTTATTGGTGGTGCTGGTCTTCTATCCGGTCGCAATTATGGTGATTATGTATGTGTTTAAAATTATTATTCAAAATTATTATGTCCTCAACCACAAAATGCAGGAAATTTGTCGGAGATCCCTTCTTAAAGTATATACTATTGATCCATTATTTATTAGTTCCGTTGGTCCGTCTATTGAAATCATGATAAAGCTCTTAATATCAAATTGAAATCGAAAAATGCATTGATTTTATTCCAAGGATGTTTGGTATTTAAAATGGAATACATCCGAACACATTCAAATGTAGCCCCCAAATAATGGTACCTCCTTCATTTCGATATTTTGCATTTAATATTGGTCCCCTTTTTATGAACTCTACCATTGTAACCCCTCGAAATATACATTTTAGGCCCCACAAAGTCCGTCTGTCCGTCTGTGGAGTTCACTCTAGCTTCCGAACGAAATGAAGTAGATTGATAAAATTTGACTCAAATGTATATTATGTCTGCAGGACTTTTGGTATTCAAAATGGGCCATGTAGGTCCACGTTTTGTTATAGCCCCCATATAACGGTACCTCCCGATATTCGGTATTTTGATGATTTTAGCGACATTATTCACCGGAATTGTTTCAAATTTGGTATTTAAAGTTCGTAATGGATACTACAGCCTAAGACAGAAAATTGTCTGTTCAGGTCCGCGTCTTCGTATAGCCCCCATATAACGGTATCTCCCGATTTTCGGTATTTTGATGATTTTAGCTACATTATTCACCGTTTTTTTAAGTTTCGCATTTGAATATTGTAATGGCTTATGACAAATGTTACCTATACAGGTCCATGTCGTCGTATAGACCCTAATATAACAGCTACATTCGGTATTTTTAAGATTTTAACAGAATTTGTAACAGATTTTATTCTTTTTGACAATTGCCAAATTTGTTCTAAATGGTGTAGGGTATTCAAAATTCAGCCCGGCCGAACTTACAGCTTTTTTACTTTTTTTTTTTTTTTTTGAAGATTGCCAAGTTCGTTCCAAATAGCTTTTTAAATCCTTTCAAAGACTTATACCTATAGGTATAGTATATTTAGTTTTGAGAATACCTTATTTAGCAAAAAAAAAAAAAAAAACTGTCGGCCCGGCCGAACTAAACGTCACTTTTTCTTATTTAAATACCACTTCTATCTACTTAGTATGCCATTTTTGAACCGGGAACACGTAACACGGGTACTGCAATTGCTGGTAAGAACATTGCCAATCCCTTGCCCATGATCAATGCTGGCATTGATCTATTAAATCATTTGGGCTATAAGGATCATGCCCGTATTATACACGAGGCAAGCTACAAAACTGTTGTGGAGAATGGCATTAGGACACCAGGTGAGTTGGTTTCAGATTACAAATACCGAAGAAAAGGGGAATCGGTGGAGGATTTGGCTTTAATTGGGATATTTGATGACAATGCTTAATATTTTTATAATTTTCAGATGTTGGTGGTTCAAATACCAGCACAGATGTTATCAATAGCATTATGGACTATCTACCGAATGCCAACGTTGTCTGGTAATTAATAAAAAATATATATATTTTTGTTGTTCATATTTTTTCTACTAACAATTTAAGATAAAAAGTTTGTGAATGTTATCTGGTAAATAATACATATATTTTTCTAATATTTATTTTCATCTACTAACAATTTAAGTTTAAAGAGTAGTGTTGTGTGTGCTCCTGTTTGTATGTCTACTAATTGTTATATAACTAATTTTAAATTTATATCCAACCATTTTATGTAATCGTGTTTGTTTCTCTATATTCTATGTAAAGAAAATGTATTCCCGCCACTATCTTGAGAGAGAGACTGTGAATATCAATTTCAAAATTTCCTATTATTTAAATTTTAAAATATATTTTTATGGCATGTATTTTATTTGGAAATGTATTTATTTTGTAAAAATGCACGTTAATGTAGTATGTGAATATGTTGTATATGTGGCCATTTAAAATATAAAGTATCATATTTTAATAAAATAATAATTTCATTTTTTCCACAGGCCCCATGAAGATGATTTTATGCAAGAAAGAGAAGTTAGAATTTAAATTCTTTTAAAATTCATAAAGAAACATTTTCCAATCACACCCAACATAATTTCATACGTACACTATACACTGTTCACCAAAAAAAAAAATGATTCAAAGACGACTAACGAATTCATTTGACAAAAACATTTGAGTAAGTATTAAACATGTTTATATGAATTAGTAGAATTTTGAACAAAAAATTTGTTAATAGATTTAAAAGAGATTAAAATTTATTCAATTAAAAAAAAGACAGCTTTTAATGTGTACCATAACCCAATAATTTCTACAAAGCATTACAAAACATTGTTTAAACGCAGTTTTTAACCAGATTTTGAAAATAAACTAAAAAGACCCCTTTGGTGCTTGTGCCTTATAATTTTTTTTACCAAAATAGTTTACGATACTATATACCAAGAAATCTTAGTCCGAAATTTTGAAAATTGTGGACGAGAGGGAAACTTTTCGCCTATTTTTACCTATATTCTCATAATCTACTGGAAATTTGAAAATTCTCCTCATACATTCTTGCTCTGTTCCAGAACTTTTTACTACGATAACCGATTTTCCCTTTATAAAATCAAATACTTGTAGATTCTTGCAGGTTCTGGAACAGACCAACTATGAAGTCATTTTTACTAGAAAAGTTATTGTACACACCTAATGTCATTCATATAAAAAATTTCATGAATGAAAATTTGTAGTTAAATTTATTGTAGATTTAAATTGTAGTTTAAATTTATGTTGTAGTTAAATTTACTCTTTTTTCATATGAAACTTCCCAATTGGGGCAATGAATACATTTCTATATAACTTATAGCTTTAATACCGAAATCTGTAGTTAAAAAATGTAATCTTATGAATCTTTAAAAATGTCTATTTTACAGCTATTACCATACCTCTATTAGACGTTACATCCTATTCTATTCACACGCATTCCATTTTTCTCCATATTTTCATGATTAATTGAAAAGTTTCTTAAAGCTCTTGTTAACAAAATATTTATCTGAACTACTCAAACTATTTTAAATTATCTCGATGTTAAACTTTTTAAAATTGTATTAAGAAAAAAGATTGTATTATTTGAAAAATTGTATTTGACATTAAACATTAAATAAATGAATATTGACAATATTAAAAAATGTCTATTACATTTTTATTGCATCGGTGGAGCACACTTCAAAAGCTCAAATTCAAATTGTGAACCTCTCAGCACTTTAAATCGACATGAGAACTAAAGAATAAAAAAATGAGTTAAGTTCAGCAGGGCAGGCTGTAATAGCTACCACAATTAGAAAATTGATCCCTTTGTTTAAAAATGCCGGGGTTGCAGCTTTGCCTATACTATCAATATGTAACTGTGCTGCCGACAAACCCCTTGGTAAATTGTATTTGAAGATTATTAATTTTAAACATTTTCAAAATTTAAACAAATTTTTAAAATCTGAAATTAAAACAAGTAAAAAATATTAAGTTCGGCCGGGCCAAACTTTTAATACCCTCCACCTTAGGGTAAAATAAACATTAGAAGAAATGTGGCAAAAACCATTAAATTACCGAACATCGGGAGGTACCGTTATATGGGGGCTATACCAAAACGTGGACCTATAATTACAATGTTTCGCTACACGAACTAGGACCCATTATGACCAATTTTTAGACAAATCAGTGAAAAAATGTGGCAAAAACCATAAAAATACCGAATATCGGGATGTACCGTTATATGGAGGCTATATCAAATCATGGACCCATGCATGCAATGTTTCGCCACCGGAGCTGGAACCCATTATGACCAACAAATACCAATTTTAAGACAAATCCGTGAAAAATGGTTGAAAAAATCATCAAATTACCGAATATCGGGAGGTACCTTTATATGGGAACTATACCAGAACGTGGACCGATATATCTCATTTTCAATACCAACCATCCTAGACACAATGCAAATAGCTCTGCTAAATTTTGGCGCTCTAGACAGACATACTTTATGGGGTCTAAGACGAATATTTAAGGATGTTACAAACGGAATGACAAAGTTAATATACCCTCCTTTCCAAAGTGGAGGGTATAATAAGTAAAATAGTTTTGCCGACAGATGTATACACCCAGCCTAATTATTCAAACTGTTGACCCTTTATGGGGGAGGTTCTAAAGCAGTTGACCATTTCGTATTTGACCTAAGACTGATACAAATTTGGACTATTGCCGGATTTGAACTATATCGATTACTTCCTATACTTTATATGCGATGTATTCCATATTAATACTTCATTTAATACAGATAAAAATATTGGTATGCGAAATCATAAATTCCTATAAATTATATTCATATCAGATTTCTGGTTAAAAGAAATATTTAGATATAGCATGTTATGACAGATAAAAATATTGAAAATTGTAACCCTTTGTGGGTGAGATACCAGCCGGGGTTCGCAGATACATATCATCTTCACAACAGATATTGTGTTAGCAAATATATTTGGATGTGTGACATTTGAAAACAGTTGGACGCTTATTTCGCTCTCTTTGAGCGTTTTGTTTTTAAACACCTTGAACCCTATGGGGAGGAGTGATCTGCTATATTCCATTTTCACACCAGACATTAAGTTAATAAAAATATTGTAATTGTGTGATGAAAATTGGACCACTTACATTTCATGAGTTATAATTATTCAAAATTTTGACCCTTTGTGGGGGAGGTACTTGATGGAGCGGACATACATTGTCCATTTTCACACACTACCTAGCACTGATGCATTTATTAGGATTTGCAACGTTTGAACAAAATCGAATTATCCTTTCAATTTGTGCAGTAAATTATTTTCTTTGAAAATGTTGAGATTTTGTGGGCCCATTTCCGAACTCGATTTAAGTTTGACAATAATATTACGATGTACCAAGTTTGGACCAAATCGGATACTCCCTTCGAGAGCTATCGTACGCACCAGACAGACAGACGGACAACGCTAGATCGATTACAGATGTCCTGAAACGAAGACCTAGGGTCTAAACCCTTATTCCGATGAGGCACGTTTTGGCCGTATGGCCAAGGGTATAAAAGTGCATTTACAAATTCTGTCAAGCCTGGTGTATAGTGTGTCGGCCGTGTCGCAGTTATTTGCATTCCAAAAGTCCATATCTTGCTTAGTCATACAAACTAAAGTTTCTAGGAAAATACTTCTACTCTAATTGCTTAATAGTTATTCTTGTCCGCATACTGAAGGAATCGATATCATTGCTCTGTATGAATAAATGCCTATGGTTTTTGTTGGAAGGCCCAAACTGAAATGTAAACAATCCTCTTTGGGTGCATTCTATTTTCTGTAAAAACACATCTTCCTAAAACAATGGTCGGCACCGAGTTTCCCACAAGTTGTTTGCTGCTTATATCGTTCCATTTCACAAATTCCGTAAGATTTACTCCACTGGACAATTAGAACACATCTTTGTTTTGTAATTTTTTTGTAATAATTTTTTTTTTATTGTTGTAACTTTTTTTTTCTAAAAAAAAGACGTCACAAAATTTCCTCCATACAGATCCACACAGCTAAACGAAAACATACAAAAATTTATGTTTTCGTTCACATGATGACAGTTGTTGTTGTTGGTTTTTTATTTAAAAACTAGAAGCATGCTACAAGCATTTAGAAACGCAACTTCTGGAAGAACCACTTGTTCTTGCCTTCCTTGTAGGATGTTTCGAATTTCACACGGGTTTGGAAACGGTGTGCCTTACGCTTAGCGGGATCTTTCAAGTCCTTGGGAGACAATTTGTCGAAAGTGATTTCGCTGGCGGTATAACGGGTGGGCATCAAGTGATTGTAGTTCAATACCTTCAAGAAAGGCTTGATCTTGGACTTCTTCTTCAACTTGGTCTTGCCCATGCTCTTGGTAACCTTGCGGGGGTATCTGTCGATACCAGCAACCAAGGCGTGACCGAAAGGTTTATCGGCACCACCATCGTCAACAGTCTTGACAATGATGGCCTTGCGGCCGGCGTAACGTCCACTAAGGACAATTACGATTTTGTTAGCTTTCATAATCTTCCTCATCTTGATGGCTGTTGTTGGTCGGATGGTTGGCAATGTTGTTATGGTTGCAGAAGGATCACAGCACAATACAGAACACAATGTTTATGACCCGACATGAAAGAGAAAATAAAATTACATTAGTTATGTTGTTCTGTAAACAATAATTCATCGAGTTTTCCAATTCATTTACAAATTAATCAAGTGATTTATCTCTATGCCATTCTTCCACTAAACACTTCAGGGTTATTTTTGTTTTATTGCCCCGTATTCAATAACATTTGACAGCAAAACATCTTTTGTTTTGTCCGACAACTAGTTAACACAATTTTAAAGATCATTTTTCTGGGGGAATGACTTTAGTTAACTGGAAAATATCTGTTGACATTAATAGTTTGGAGTGTTTCATTTTCACTTTAGCATTCATTTTGTATGGATTTTCACGAAAATCACTTGATTTATTTGATAAATAATTGAAAAATTTACGAAAACCACTTACAGGTCTTATGGCTGACCGGATATAGAGAAAGAGAAAAGGGATGACATTTCGCACGTTAGATTGACATTTCTGTCAAAAGCTGTGTTCAGTTGGCATTCGTTTGACATGTGCGAAAGGTATGTGCTGTGAAAAGTGCGATGTTTGTAGGAGAGTGGCAACACTGTGCGAACTAAATTAAAAACGTTCATTTGAAACAGGAGAAAATTCAGTTTATGAGTATTAAAATATAATATTTAATAAACATGCTTTCTAGTTTAGGTAAAGCCATGTAATACCGGCATTTTTTCCACAACCAGTGCAGTTTGCGGGATGCATGGATTTTAAGTGAAAAGAATACCGTGTTCACACTTGCAGCGTTATTTTTGTTCAGTCTCAATTACATGTCAAAACTTTGTGGAGAAGGTGAGTTTTAAGGACAGAATATCAAAGAATAGGTAACTTTTGTTTCATTTCAATCACTTTTCCAATAAAAATCACTTTTTTCTATTAATTTTCACTGTCTGTAAATAAAAGCTAAACACATAAGATGGTTTTTTTTCGGTAAATGTCAATTGTTAACAAAGAACAATTAATCAGTTGCGTTCGTATTTCTCACGGTAGAACATTCGCCAAATCATCAATGGCAACCCTTTTTTATATTGGTCCTCATTTATCATTTTTAAAATTAATTCCATAACTATGTACGCAAGACCAGTGGCATATATTTTTTTAAACTAAGAAATAAATTATTTTGACGTTTTCGCATTGACTGAATGGAACAACTCGTAGTTTTTTTTTTATAAAAGAGTTTGTCTATTGTCATAAATTCACTAGGAAAATTTGATAAGGTAACTTTATCGGTAAACGTAGAATATTTTTTTCTATTCTGCGGTTCACATTGTTCTCGCGATTTGATACTTTTTATTCCAAATAACAACAATATTTTTTTTTTAAATTTAGAAAAATAGAGTCCATTTTTGAATTAAACTTCTACGAAAATACCTATCCTACATCTCTGTTCTTTATCTCATCTATAAAGATTCCCCTTCTTTAGATTATCAGCAAGAAGCGTATTTTACCCTATCTGCCATGGAGATCATCCTGAAATGCCATCCTGCCATTAATAAAAACCGAACCTAATGAAAACGTGTTGAAAGTAATAAACATGCAAAAGAATATATCCCCATCCCCCACAGCGTAGCGGAGAACAGTCAAATTAAACCAAACCGAAAATAAAATAAACGACGTATAAATGAATGTGCAATCATGATCTGACTTCTTGCTGGCCTCGCCGGCCATTCGTCGTTCACAGGCTCTTAAACACATTCTTTGGATTCAAGGCTCGTTTATTACGTTCATTCAGTTGCTTGTTTTCGGTTATTTTTCTTGTCAGTTTTTTCTGTTCTGTTCTGTTTTCGTTTTACTCTTTTGTTTTATTTCTTTTCTTTTTTTTGCTCTCAACTGTTTTCCGTATCTGTAGTTTCAACAGACGACCCCTCTCCAACCAACAATAATAAAATTAAGGTCAATATGTGGTTCTTGGTGTTGACGATTTTCGATGTTATTTGTTTGCCGGTTGTTGCTGTTGCTGTTGGTAGGGGGACATAAAAGGGATAAACAGTGAAAAAAAACTCCCGTTAGTGGGTCATACAGCATTTTTTTTAATTTTTGTGATTGAAATACCAAGTGCTACTCCCACTAACGCTCTTTGCTTGTCCATCTTTTTTCATCTTTTTTGTTAAACACTATTTTTGAAAACAAGTTTTTTTCAATGAATGTTTTAGTGGTACCTTGTTTAAAGATAAGTACCATGGCAGAAGAATACAGGTAGATGCATCAAAGCTTGGGAGGATTGATATTTAAAAAAAAATGTTTTTTCAAATATAAGTCGATTTTTATACGTTTTCTTATACTACGTCATTCGAAGGCTATTATAATTCGCGTTTTTCAACAATTTTTACAAATTTTAACAGTTTTTCATTCAAAAATTTCAATTCCAAAATTGGTTTGACAGTTCATTGTTCAAGCAGCTGTGCCGACGCGTCTACCTATATTCTTCTACCATGATAAGTACGATCATGGTAAAAGCAAGGTAGATCTAACAGGTAACCGCATCGGCGAATTGCTACAACAAAGCAACTTTTGTGGTCCCCTCAAATGTCAAAATTGGCATCTAAGGCGAAAAACATAGATTCGCCATGACATTTAAAGGTTGCGGCAAATTTGTTTCAACCAATCAGAAACGAGGTGTTTGTTTACATTTTATTTTGTGTGCCTCTCGTCGTAAACGAACGTCGCAATAAAAGTTTTTATTGTAAAACAAATAAGAGTAAAATAAGTATTAATTGTAGTATTGCGATATTTTTAAACCAAGAAACTTATAATGACTATATTTTACTGGTTTAAACCGAAAGTTTTCCGGAACTGCAAATGACAAGAGTCGAATTCTTGCACTACTTCCCGTGATGTGCTTTGGGAATCTTAGATGTTGAGGCTAACTTAATTCTTAAAGCTGCACGCCATTCTAACCTCCTTCCTTCACTTTCTTTTAATTTTTTTTACTGGTTTCACTCTTAACTTGCTCTTAAATTATTTGAAATATTATAAAAAGGTACTTTTAGGGAAGACAACATAAACAAATTTGTTGTTGCATTCATTTAGGGCGAATTCTTCATTACAACAATTTGTTTTGACATTTAATGGTGCCGTCAGCTGGGCTGATGCGATTACCTAGTACATCTACCTTGGGTAAAAGAATATAGGTTGATGCGTCAACACTCGCAAACATTGATATGTCAAAATTTTTGAAAACATCTCCAAAAATAAATGGATTTTTGCAAACTTTTCTTATACGACGACAATCGGAGGCTGTTATGACATGCATTTTTCAACAATTTTCACAAATGTCGATATTTTTTCATTCAAAAATTGCAATTCCAAAACTGATTTGACAGTTCATTGTACCAGCAGCTGTGTTGATGCGACTATCTGTATAATTTTATCATGAGTACGATCAAAGACATATCTTTCCTTTATCGCCAACTTTTGTTATCCCTTACTTTAGGAAAAGTAAAGGATAAAGTTCATATTATCGGGTTTTCATTATTAAATCTTTCCTTTAAAATATATGCATTTTTTTACAGAGATATGGAACGCTTTTTGTAAAAGTAACTGGCATCTTCATTTTAGTTTAAAAAAACAAACAAAATACGAATTTGTAATTAATTTCGTGAAGTAAATTTATAATTCAGTTCTTCAATATAAAAAAAAAAAAAACGATTTGCGTTATCCATTTTTTTATTTAAATAAATTTTGCTGTTATTGCCATATATATATAATATAAAATATGGCAACATGAATTCAGTAAACTTTACGTTAAAAGATAAAGGGAAGATGGTTTGACCTTTTGCTTACCGGTCGGTTAAATGAAGCTTGTAAAAAAGAAAAACGACTTATGTGTCCGGCAACATCATTTTTTTTATCTATCGACAAGATCTAATAACCGGAATATGAAAAACACAACATGGGTAATTATCACTGGTAGACACATCGACACAGCTGCTGGGACGATGAACTAATTTTGGAATTAAAAATGTTAAATGAAAAATTATTTAAATTAGTAAAAATTCTTGAAAAACGCAAAAATTATAACCTCTGAATGACATCCTATAAGAAAACATATAAAATCTACTTATATTTGAAAAAATATTTAAATATTTTTGACATATCAATGCTCCCAAGTGTTGATGCATCTATCTGTATTCTTCTGCCATGGTTCATACTTAAATGAAACTTGTAAAAAAGAAAAACGATTTATGCGTCCGACAATATCCCTTTTTTTATCTACCGACAAGATGTAGTAACCGACCATAGAAGTATAAAAATAGGACAAGACAGAGCAAAAATATGGTAACACTCTGAAAATACCTCTGTTGTTATGATATCATAACAACATAAGTATTGTTCCAGTACTTTTTAGTAGTAAAACTAGCAGAAGAGAGAACAGTACGAAATGTCATTCTCATTTAGGTGTGCTCAAAAAATAAGGGAACGGAAAATTAGTAGAAATGCGATAAAATGTCAACATTCAAAATTCCAAAAGAAAACAGTCTAAATCGGACTGGTGAAACCTTACTGAAATGGACGCCAAAGTTTAAAAAAATGAGTATTGAAAATAAGTTAAAATTAATAATTATTTTTGAATGATGTTTATTTAGAAATTTGTTTTTTTTTAGGAGTTTTCTCAAATCCCCACCCCGGAGAAACTGACATGTTTGTTAATGTTAAGTCTGCTAGAAGACTTAATGCCACAAGTTGGGAAGACAGCCAACCTAAAAAATAAAAAGAAAATGTTCGCAGTAATAAGCGAAAATCTTTGATTTTAAGCTTAATTTTTCAATTAACCTAATTTTTGCACTGTTTTCCAATACGTTTTCTTCGTCTGATTCCTCATTCAGGCAATCCTCTTCACTACTGGAATCATCCAAAAGTGAATACATCAGTTGCTCCATATTTTCTCCTTTTGTTTTTTGCACGACAAATATTAGTTTTTCTTTAGTTTTTAAGTTTATCTCTTTTCTTTACATTTGTTGTGAATTTACCATTTTCACATTTCTGTTCGGCCAAATTCATGTAGCTAAAACAAGCAGAAATGTGCACCACTTAGCGCCATTTTCTTCTCGAGAGAGCTGCAAGTTTTGCTAGTTTTTGGAGTACGGGAACGCGTTGTAGCAGAATTAGTACTAATTTGTATGTTCTGGAACACAACTATAGTTACCAATGATAACTGATTTAAAGCGCTAAGGCAAAATGCAAGGCCCATTTATTAGGTCGTGTAAAGGGCGAATTGCCGTAAAAACAGCTGTTTTACTTCTTCGAACTGTCAAAATTTCTTCTGAAGCGAATAATTCGCCTTTATTTATCTTTTTTTGTGGCGAATTTGTAAACATCTACGAGAAAAGAAAAACAAAGTAAAGCATACGAAACAAAGCACACGAGCGTAGTATTAAAATTAAACAGATGGCAAGACGTTTTAATGGACATATTTTGGCAATTTATGCTTCTTTTTGACCTTGCGTCTTCCTACTTTGGAATGGAGAAAAAATCGCATTTGCAGTCAAGCAGCCAGAATAG